TTTTTTTTGACATTTGCAGATTGGTGAAAAACTGATCATTCTTTTTTTACCTTGATCGCCACTGAAAGAAGATTGACCCCGGCCATTTATAAGGATTCCATCAGGTGAAGGCAACGGCTTTCCTGAATCGAGTATTTGCTGCAATCCCTGTAATAAATAACATATATAAAAGTTAATGATAAAACGAACATTTCCACTTCCAGTGATCAGAACTCACCAAATTTACAAACACAATTCTATTACAGTAAAAAGAACACTCACCTTGTGGCCGGCCTTATACCAATCACCGACAAGCAAACTATAATCTCCGGCTGGAGTAGCATATGGAACGGGAATCACTGATCGGGCGTAAACGTTAAGAGCTCCAAAACCTCCGGCAGCTCTGTGCATTAGAGTTGAGGGGAAATAGCTGTAGCTCCCGATTTGATCTTTCGTTTGGAACTTGTACGTGTAGTTCGCATTTGGAGGGATCGGGCAGTTAGTTCCCAAAACACCATCCTGCCACGAGTTCTTTCGCTGTTTGATCCCATTCCTAAATTCACACAAACAAACCAACCCACATTAAAGTTTTGTGTCTTGCCTGATAACTCTTAAACATAATAGATAAGAAAAATGATTCCAAAATCAGCAGTCAATTACATAGGCTTTGTCATTTCCAATGGAAAAATACATAAATACACCATAGATTATCCAAATCACAGAAAAAAAAAAATCGACTTACCTTTCGAAATTCTAGACACAGCTTAAAATGCTCGAAACAATGCTCATTAAAATTGTCTAGACCTAACTAATGCAGGCACTCTTGAACAAACACACTGCCAAAAAGAAGAACCAAAAAACAAAAAAAAAAAAAAAAAAAAAAAAAAAAAAAAAAAAACAAAAATGGGTACTGAAAACAGCCGGTTTCGACATCTGCTACGTATAGTATAATAGTATAAAGACTTCTGTTCGACAACTATAACTAATCAACTAATTTTCTATACAGCAAGAAAGTCCAAAACATGTATTAAAAAATAATAATTACCAAAAAAAAAAAAAAAAGTGATCTTGGGACAACCAACCACAACAAAAGCAGATCTCACAATCAGGCAGCTGCAAAAAAAGGTTTGAAATTTTGATTCTTCTCACCATGTTAACAAGATTGGCTGGTCCAATTTGTTGATGAGGTTTAGGATTATGTTGTCATTTGTCACAGCATCAAGCCTGGGACCAGGAAACTGTCCATTTATCAGTATAACCTGCAAATTCTCAAACATTAAACTTTCAGAACTTCCATTACACACACCTTTAATCACACATACAAACGAACAAACAAACAAACACACTGCTAACCTGTTGAGAAATCCCTAGAGGTGCAGCAGTTCCATAGGTCACAGTCCACGTGTAATACTTGTAAGCATCCTCTGATCTCACACCAAGAACACTCCAAAATGCAAAAACAGCAACCAAATACAACGAAATTGCTCGACCCATTTCACTTTAATGGCGAACGAACAAAAACACACAGACCCTCCAAAAACCCTGCAAAAACCCACTTCAAATGTATCAGAAAATTTCAGCGGCATATTCTTGAAACATTTGTTTGTTACTAAAGTGAAACGACACGAACCCATTAGCAGATCTGAGGTGGGTTTTTAGCCAAACAAACAAAATACAGATGTAATGTAAGAATTAGTATCGTACCAGGTTTTTGAGAAACCAAACAACACTAGTCTTGAAGGGGCAAGAATAAAAGAATGTGTGTGTTCTTGTGTGTGTGTGTGTGTGTGTTTTCAAATCCTTCTGTTTATACAACCCAATGTGGATTTGTTGGAGGATTTATGTGTGTGTATATAAACAGGTTCATTATAATACTGACAGCCACAGTTTCAAATAAAACAAAGGTCCAATAAAGAAAAGGAACGCGCAGAGGGAAAGGAAAGAGAAAAGTATCAGGGGCAGCCATTGCCAACTTTCATTATCTATCTATAATTAATTCAGCTAATTCAGTAAATTTTGGGATTTCATTTTATTATAAAACTAGAATGGCTTGTTTTCATACCATGGTTAAGAGCTTCTCCACCTTGCTCCAATGTTAGCACTACATTTTTTCGCATTACTCTAAACATATGAACAACATTGCGGCTACATGTAACGCGATACTATTCACCGCGGCAATTTTATTATCTTCAAATTTTAATTTTTAATTGGTTTTATTTTTAAATATTATTTTGATAATTCTACCGCAATAAAATTATTTACTTTTTAAGTAATTTAAATTTTTGATTTTATTTTGTACTAATAATATACTTCATGCAGCGTAAAATGTAGCGCGAACGGTTGGATATGAAAGTTAAATTTTGGCATTTTCTACTTCACAGTAGAGTAAACTTTACACTAGAGTAGAGTAAAAAATTAGAGATATCCGATAAGTGGGGACAGTCTACGTCCAATACAAATTCTAATGTGATACGATCTAATAGTTAGGTAAGTCGTCAGTTGGTCATAATTTATTGATAAAATTGCATATTTATACTATGAAACATCATATTTTTATTTATATTATTTTTTAGAGTATAACATTTTATTATATATATATGTGTGTGTGTGTGTAATCAAATGAGAATGGAAGATATTTAGAAATAGAAATAAATCATAGCCGTTGGAAGTAATATATCAACACTCCAGATCTGGTCAAACACTCCAATTATGGTCAAAAGCTCGGTGACATTTATGTAATGTCATGAGTACTTTTGATTATTAATGTAGGGGCATTTTCGTCAATTCGTGAAGTACGTTGAGACGCTATAGTGCATTTTCACAGACATTAATGTTCATTTCGTATAATATTGTTGTGCGTTCTGTAGCGCGGTGACATTTTGGTAAATTCGTAAACTAATAAACGTGTCAGTATGACAATTTTCTAATTTCGTAGAACTACGACGGTATATTTAATGTGCATATCCAAATGTAATATATTCATCTTACTCATCATATTGTGTCGTTATCAAACTTTTGATAAATTACAGGTTCACCCAAGAACCAAAATTGCAATATACTAGACCTTCTGAAATTGCAAATAAGCCTCCAAGACTTATAAAATTTTAAAAAAAAAACCCACCATCCAAATAACTCGAGGAGTCTATCGGAATCTCGTAGGGCTATTGCCGAAGACGTTGGTGTCGGCGGCGACGTCGCTCGTGGTAACTGGTGAGGGAGGTCGTCGAGCGACGCGAGGAGGTGGGGAGGTCGTAGGCGGTTAGCATGGGTTGGGGCTTCGGACGACGGCGATGAGGTGGGTCAAGGGAGACAAATAGAAGAAATGGGAACTTGCATCAACGCAAAGACGTAAGGAGGGAATATCGAATTCGACGGGGGTGATCGACTACGAGATGCACAATAATTTTTGCAGTGTTGGGTGGAGGATTGGGGTGGATCAGTTGAGGATGGTGGCGCAGGGAATCACTGGTGGTGACGAACATGCAAGGTGATGGAGCTCTTGACGGAGGGGTTGGGTTTGACCGTTAGAACATTCAAAGAGCTTGCGTTCAAGGAACTCTTTGCGAGGTTATGTGGCGATGGCAGGAGAAAAAAGGTACTGGATCGGCAGGGAGAGGCAACGGGATATGAGCGGTGGTGACAACGAAAGACGGGGCGAAGGAGCGAGGTGCCTATGATGATGTGTTGTGCTTGAACGAGAAAAACGTGTGCGCGTGCGCGTGTTCGTGTGTGTGTGTGAGAGAGAGAGAGAGAGAGGGAGATGAGAGTGTGCTGGGAAATGTCCAATATATATACCTTTTATTTGTGTATAGTTTTGACTATTTTTGTGGTCGTCGAATTATTAAATCTTACTGTTCAGATGTATTCTTATTTTTTTCACCAACAGCTATTCTCATTGGAATACGACTATGATTCATTCTTATACATAGGGATATGATTCCATCAATTTTGCTATGAAGTAATCGGAGGACTCGACTTATGGAGTCATCCACACTTATTCACCAATAGTGTATTGACGCTTTTGTTACAATAAATATACTTTTGACAGGTGTCAAAATATAAAGTAGTTGATGACTTTGTAAAAAAACCATCCGATGGCGCCAATGAGAATGGTTGGCTATAGTGAGTCAAAAGTATACTAATAAAGGTATATTGGACATTTTCCCTCTCATTCACAACATAATATTTTATCAAACCATAACATTTGGAAATGGCATGATAATATGATATAAAAGTGACAATTAATTTAAATTTCTTTTTAGTTATAGCCGAATTAAAAAGAGTAAATTAAGTACTCAAGTAGTAGTTGGCTGCTGGTTGGTGACAATTAATGATGCTGTTGTTTTTTTTGCCGATTACATTTATGCTTTTTGGTTTGTCTTTGCTATTCGTCTCGAGATTTGCGGTGTAAATTATTATTTTTTTTACTTCATTTTTTTTATCATCTTATTTTATTTCCGGATTAGATTAGACGTGGCCAGGTGCCGGTTTCGGGCCCGGCCCGGCCCGGCCCGCCGGGCCACGGGCCCTCAAACAGTCGAACCGCAACCGGCCCGCTAGGAACGAAGGGCCGGTTCGTAGAACCGGCCCGAACCGCCGGTTCACCGGCCCGGCGGTTCACGGGCCGGTACGGCCCTTAAAAAAAGCAAAATAAATGACCCGGCCCAGCCCGGCCCGGCGGGATCAACAAAAAAAACCCGTGACCCTTAACCGGACCGGATTGGCCGCGGTCCGGTTCTCGAACCCAGCACTGTTCATGCCGGTACCGGTACCGGGCCGGGCCGGGCCGGTACCGGGTCACGGGTCGGGCCACGGGCCGGGCCGCCCGTGGCCATGTCTGGATTAGATGAATTCATTTTTTAGCAACCTTTCATTAATTATGTCCTTTTTATTGTTAGCTGGCATAATATTTTCTGAACCGTGTTACTGTTTTTAGAAATTTGATGAATTTACAAAAAATGCTACTCTTTCATTTCGTTTAAATGTCAATTCAGATTATATTTCTAATTAGTTATTATTTAGCACTAGTATTTGCACTACAAGAAAATACTTCAATTCCAACGGCAAAAATTTTCGTTGAAAATTCCAATGAATATTCCAACAAACTTAATTTTACGTTGGAATAAGTGTTGGATGGTTGAGAAATTCCAACGGATTATTTCCGTTGGAACAGTTGTAGAAATTTATTTCCATAGGATATTCCGTTGGATTTTAACTATTCCAACGGCCGTTTTTCCTACGAATTTTTATATGTAGGAATATCCGTTGGAATAGCTATTCCAACGGAAAATATAAAGAATTCCAACGGAAATTTTTCATTGGAATGTAAGAGTTTTTTTTTTTTTTAGTGTTGATCATTTGCATTTGCACAGATATAAAACACGTTTTTGTTTGTATTTATTAATTAGGCATGTACTTCTATCATATAAAAATTATTACTTTTTCTTAAGTTATTTTTATCATTCAAAATTAATGAGATTTAAATTTTATTTTAGCCATGAAACGTTACATTAGTAACATGCATAAAATAATTTATATATTTGTGGCATATATTAAGAAAATTAACATAAAAAAATTATTGGGGTTTATGATTTTTAGAAAAAAAAAACGTGTCAATCATATTTTTCTTCCAACAATGCAAGTAAATATAGTGGTTACAACTCTAAATGTGTCAATCAACATTAAGTTCTAACATTAGCCGTTACATATTTGAATATTTTGCTAACAAATTTAGAATTAATTTAGTAACTGATCCAAAAAATAAATAATAAATATATATATTAAGGTGTAACAGTTTTAGCAGATTAGTGAATAATTAATTAAAAAAATATAACTCATTTTGGAGGGAAATGAGAAATAAGTTCTATTAAATGCTAGTAATTATATATATAGATTATCCTTCCCTTACAAGTATATAATTATTTATAAAAAATCATAAAATATCCTCTGATTAACATGATTTATAATTATTTATTCAATATTATATCTAACACACACATGATTTAACACCAAAAAATTTGAAAGACATGGAGTATCACATCGCTAAAAATATCAAAGCTAATTAAGTGATTTTAATATTAAAGAAAATAATTTAAATTCAAAATATTTACTTTAAAATATGTTAGATGTTCTATATTTTATCCTGAAAATATATTTTATTTTTACTATGAAATTCCTCATTGTGGTTTTACAAGCCTCTATCATTATGTCGACGATGCAAATTATTAAAATGATACAAGCAATTTGGTGAATGGATCAATTATCAATGTTACAAAAATTGAATAATATGCAAAAATAAAAACCTGGAAATCAAATCCTAGTAAAAGCTCCTAAAGCTTTATTTTTTTAAATCAAACACCTCATATTTTAGGGAAATTGATACGAAAGAGACAAGACGAATTTGGGGAAAAGTTCATTTCAATCGGATGATACAACTTTGTATAAACCAAGAATATATATACAAATTTAGGGCTACATATAACCTAAGGCTAATA